TTGGATAATATTGGGTTAGCCATTGTATATGCAATTTGTAGTCAGAACACTTATTTACACTGGGAAAAGCTTTCTGCTGTATCAGCAATTCAGTGTTAACAACATTTTATAAACAGGGTAGCTAGGCTTTGTCGGGTGTTGTGGTTAGGAGTTCACGATGTCATAAAGTGGGAGAATGCGAAAGAGTAAAAGCAGATATGGATTTAAGATTTAAGAATATTTTAAAGGTTTTAGTTAAGGAAAAAAATAGATATAGTTGAATAACTCTGCCTCCTCCAGGCTAAAAAAAACTTTTAGTGCTGGCTCTTTCAATGCCTTAATTTGAAGCCCGATACAAGCTGTATTGCAGCCATCAAAGATACTGAAAAGAGGATTAAAGTAGGAAGAAATGGGGAAACTGAACAGCAGCTATCAAGTACAGATTGGTCTTATACACCAGAGCTTCCATCAACACCTGCACCACCACTTCGCTCATCATCGTCTGTAGGTTCTTCTGGTGAGTTGCAGATCATGAATGCTCTTGTATTTGAATCTTCATATGATGAGATAGGCTTTCGCTAATGTAAAAACCTAAGCAATAGCTATCATCGTTCGGTGATGTTTTTCTTCCCTTCCAAGTATGACTCCCCTATGATTTCAAAGAGTTCATTGAAAACACTAATTTATCAATGCCACCTTTTGTATACCCCGGCCTAGCCCTTCTGAACCTTGAAGTATCCAGTCTCCACTGCATATTTTTTTTATTATAAAAACTGTATATCTGATTTTCAATTTTTCATCTTTTTTTAACTTTCTTTTTCCTGTTTTGTTCTAACACACTGTATCCTCCGTTTGCATATAATGCTAATATTCCTAATTAGCTTTCTCAAAGCATGTAGCCTTTTAGGTCCTGGTAGAATCTGTAAAATATCAAGTCACTATTTTCCAGATTCTTAGTTCTTAAAAGTACCGTAAAGTCGTAAACATATCATCATTCTTTTGATGTATATCTTCCTTCTCTTATCATATAATGGCTAGGAATTTGATGTAGCAGATATTGAAATGGCTAGCAAACATCAAAGCATAAAAAATGAGGACAAAAAACTTCGCACGGACAAGGGACCTATGCAACCATTGGCGGCTCAACTCCCACCATCTGTAGTGCCAACGTCTTCTGGTGAGATTTATATTTGTATTTTACTGGATTGAGAATTGCAATCGGTGCAGACTTTATTTTTTGTCATTTTAAATATTCATTTTAAAAATATTTTATCATAAAGAGGTTGGCCAATTGGTATGCGGTACTTGCCGGCAATTGCTTTCATATCCTCGAGGTTCTAAATGGGTTCAGTGTTCAGCCTGCCGGACAGTCAATCTTGTCCTTGAAGGTATTTTTCTTCCTCTTTACTTCTTCAAGTTAAGTGTCATGGTTGTCAATGTTCACATTTTGTCCACCATTCAACTGTTAATCCATCAGATCAATTAATAATAATGGATTGGAATGAATCCATTCATTTGTATTGAATAAGTGGTTACTGGTTAGTTATCCTTTCATTTTGTTTTGGAACCATTGGACCACATGTGCAAAGTTTTCCAGGTTCTCATCAAAACCATTAAAAAATTCTTATTTATCAATGATCTATTGGTTGGTTGGTTTCTAATTATATGCTGAAGCGTCATTACAAGCATTGCTCAATCATATTTACACATGAAAAGTAATAATAAAATGGATGATTTGGATATCCAACCTTGAAAAAAGTGTTAAATTATATGTGTTGATGGATTTTATTCAATAGATCATGGATGAATTGTTTTCAAACCATCCATTATAAATTATAATCCGCCATTAATAACTATGATTCAATCCATATACTTCTATTTGTTAACCTTAATAAGGTGCTTCACAATACGTAGTAGTATTTGTTTTTATTCTTGTATCAGTTATCCCTTTCAACCACCGAAAACTCTATTTGATGTTGATATTGTTGCTATTCATCCCATTCAGCCAACTCTTTGCACCAGTTGACATTCATGTGTGAAACTGTGCAATTCATTTGTCTCACCACTTGTGCTACATTTCCATTCTTTATTATTAAGCTCATGAAGTAGGACAAGTCAAGTGTGGGGGCTGCACAGTGTTGCTTATGTACCCATATGGAGCGCCCTCGGTTAAATGTTCCTCTTGTCACTTCACAACAAGAATTGGCGTAAGTATCTTTTTATTTTAATTGTTGAGTAAATTCCATAAATGGTCCCTAATACCGGTGGTTTTCCATATTAGTCTTCAATTCTAAGAAATTACATAAATGGTCCTGAATTTCTGAAAATTATTCCATAAATAGTCCTTTAGGCCAAGTATGACAACATTTTTTCCACAAATAGTCCGTGAAGGACCGATTATGGAATAGTTCTCAAGAATTGAGGACCATTTATGTAATATCTTATAATTGGGGACTAAATATGCCAATATGAAAAACCACTTATAATAAGGGACCATTTATGGAACTTACTCTTTATTATAATACTAAATCTTTTGTTTAAAAACTTGTCTGCATGAAGAGATATACCCCTTCGATTTCAGGCACACAACAGGAGACCTCATCTGGCTGCACAACAGGCACGGAGGCTGCGCCATCCTCCCCATCAACGGCGCTAATCTGTCCGTTTGTTCAAAGAGAATCTTGAGTAATGCCTCCTTTTTTGTGCCACAATTTTGCATGTAAATACTCTCATTGCACTTCTGCAATTGTATTTTTCTTGGTTTTAGGTGTTTTGGTGTAACATAATCTTAAATTAGAGGTGAACGGTACAGTAAATTGCTTTCAGAATTCAGAGTAGTATATTACCATTAGGCTGCAAATTATCTGCAATAACATAGATTCTTTATTTATGAAGCTTATCTTTGAGAACCTTAATATGTGAAGTTAGTTCAGCTAAAACTTGATATCCATGAACTTGTTGCTTTTAATTATTTATTGACATCTTTATGTTTTGGACATCCTCACTGTCATATTATGACATCGAGCTATTTGGGAGTCCTACGGTGCTCCATTGGGCTCGGGACTGAGTCCTACTCCCCTAACTCACCCTACAAACCCAACCCCCCCAATTTCCTCTTGCATTTCGGCGAAATCCTAGGGGCGGAGGTTGGGTTTGTAGCACTCAGTCTCGGGTCTAATAAAACACCGTAGGATCCCGGTGTCAGGATATGACACCCAAACCGGGTATCGAAAGAAGTGTAGAGATTTGTTAATTCTTAACGGTTAATGCTCTGCAAACATGGCGACGCAACAACATTAAAAGCAGATTGAACATTGAATGGCCTTGTAGTCATAAACAACAATGTTTAAATTCACAAGATTCAGAACAAAAATAAATGAAGGCAATCTCAAATTTTTGCATCCCCCCTCATCCCAAATATGATGTAAATAAACTCAATGAGAAAACACCATTTTTTTATTTTAAAAAAATATGTAAATCTTTATAATGATAATAAAATTACTCTAGGGAAGCGAGCTTCTCCTCCTCAATCTCAAAAGCCTTCCTTGCCTGTTTCAGCTCCTCATTCATCGACAACAATTCAGTGCATCTGCTAAGCTTTGGCAAGTCCTGCAACCACAACACAATATGCAACATTGTTTCAATTGAGTTGAAAACTCACTTAATCACACACCAATTGAACACACGAACCTTGCGAATTAAGAAGAGAAAATCCTCTGCAAGAAGCCTCCCTCGTTTCGTCGCAATGTCTTCAGCTTTGTGCACCTGCAGATGTATATGCTGCAAATGATAATTTCTTTGTATTCATGGATATATATATCAAGACAAACAACTTTTCACTCATTTTTCTTCTGTTCTTTTCTCACCTTGCCAAACACAGCCTAAGACTTGAGAAAGTAGAAGCTGGAATTTTAAAAAAAGAAAATGTTTTTTTTCACTCACCATATCTGTGACATACTCGGCAACGATGTCCTCAACAAGCAGCATTGTCTCTTGGAGTGGCTGAAAATGCAGCTCGAGTTGAATTTAAAAATACAAATAGGCCAACAAATTACAGAGAAAAAAAGGGTAGAAACTGACAAATGTAGAATACCCAAACATGTTTAGGAAAGGGAATTGGTAAGACGAAAGTTTTAAAACTATAATAATACATACGTTGGGGTCATCTCCGAAACCGTACATCATGTGTTGCACTTCACATATATCAGCACAAATGAAAAAAAGTTAAGTCATTGCACGTAAAATCCTAATATTGCTATGAAAGTTACTCTACGTTCAAAAAGAAAGATACAAATAACTCACAGTCTTTTTGAAACATTCCACGTTTGCGTTTCAATGAACCGTCGTAGTGTTGGGGTGCCCCTACTCTTGCTTTTGATGATGACCCTGCTTCTGAGCTGTTCATTCTCTATAAATTCTACATATATATGTTCATAAAAATATAATAGTACTTGTAGTCTTGTAAATGTGTAGACCTTATATATAAGAGCAAGAAATTGTAAAAATGAAGAGGTGAACTCTCCATAGAGAGCTCATTAGTTCTAAGAGAGCTAAAGCATCATGAGGATGGGGCATACAAATTTAAAGCATCCCTATAAATCAACCCTACAAAGAAAGGTTTGGTATCTAAACTAGAAAAGGGAAATGTTATATGTACCAAAGAATAATGCTAGAGATACCCAAAGGATGAGCCCAATTTTGCATCTGCCATTCACAGAAACACACACAAACAATGTTCTGTGTGTGTCTGTGAGAAGTTTGAGGCATATTTAGGCTTACCTTGCGATGCCCTGAGCTTAATTCATGTAAAAATGGCTCAAGTCGTGTTTTCCTCAACTTATTTTTTTACTTATTACTTATTCTTATTGAGATCAGATCATATCAGATTAGATCAGAAATAGCTTTGAATATAACTAAATTCAGATCAGGTTGGATTAGAACTTATTCCAGTCAGATCAGGTGAAGAGAACATGAGTTTAGTTACGAAAAAAGTTTGACAAACAAATGATTTGGGAAATGTGATGAAACCTAATGAAAATGTGATGTTTTAGGTGGAAGAATGTTGCCTCCTCTCTTTGTCACTTTTTGTACTCACTATTTGCCAATTTTACTCACAAGGTTACTTAATACTTACTCTATACTTTATTTGGATGTTGGAGGCCCGCAGAAAGTTTTTAGATTCTCTTTCATTTTTTTAAAACAACAATGTGAGTGACTTTCTACACGTAATTACACTTTCTTATTTTGTAAACTCATTTCTCATGGCAATGTTCCATAATATGGGATTGTGACGAGAATCAAAAGTGGTTTCGTATTATTATTATTATTATTATTATTATTATTATTATTATTATTATTATTATTATTATTATTATATCATTATAAGCATTATTATTCTAAGAATAATGGATTTGAGGATCTGCGATCAAATTGATTTCCAAATAAAAGTCCAATAATGCACAAAAGATCATAGGATTCTTAGATTTGAAATCCAAAATAAAAAACACATAGAGAGAGATCTGGAGATTTACAAAAAAAAAAAAGCATATATAAATACCTGGGTTTGAAGGTCGGTGCAGAAGGTTAATTGATCTAAGGCTGAGTAAATGTTGCATGGAATTCGGGGTTCATTCACACTACCATTTTATACAGTACATACACCTCTTTTGCTCTCTCTCTCTCTCTTCCAAAAAAAAAACCAATTAACTATTTATAAGATTAAATTTTGGCATTTTTTTAAAACAAAATTTTGGCATTTTTTTTGTCTATTTTCACTACTTGTATGATAGAAATATATAACCATGTCAACTCTTATATTGCATAGATTTTGAATGTATTTTTTTAAGAGTAAATTGTGTAAATAGTCTGTTATAATTACAAAGAGCTTTACAAATAAGGTACTCAATTTTAAGATATTATATCTGTGATTCACAATATTTGAGAACTATTACATAATCAGTCATGTAAAGACTATATGTGAAAAGTAATATTTAGGTTAACACTGTTTTATGAGAATTTATTTATTTTTTAATTAGGCACCAATTTCTAAATAAAATGAATTAAAAAACATAAATCACCCCAAATCGGAGTAAAACATAACATTTATCCTCAAAATAAGAGTTTCATATTTTTTTAGTACTATATGTTGGCATTATTGGTATCGTACTTCAATTTTGGAAATAAAAAATATGCCTAAATAAAAATGGCTCAAAAATTTCAAAAGTGGAGTGAAAAGAAAATAAAAAGTTAAAATATACTAAAAGGAGAAAACCAAATCCTTTCCATTTTGGTGAGAAAAACTCATTTTCTTTTTTTTTTTCCTTCCTAATTCCTTGAACTAAACAGTGTTAATGTCAAAAATAACGTCAAATTTAGTGTGTCACAAGAATTGCCCTATGACCAAACGTGGAAGGAATATTTTGTAAATAAAACAATATATATTGGGGGCATTAGGCGACCTTTTTAGTTTATTTTTTCTTGTTAATTATACTCCTTAATATTTAAGATTTTCATTAATCAAAACTACAAAGTTGTTTGAGCAATTATTCTTTTCAAATTTATATTTCAATTATAGATTCTAGACTTCATTTACCAAACTCCAGTCTACAGATTTTAGTTAAAATTATCATTGCATATAGATTCCAGGTTTTAATTATCAAATCCAGTTAAATTAAAGCAAAAAAAAAAAGAACAAGCTCCTAACCAACATTGCACAATTTCCAAAAATTAGATGTTGATCATCATAATATGGCATTAAACTCCCTCCTAAAAATATTTTCTATTTGGGCAAAAATAACTTATAATATTCAAGTATTAAGAAATCATCCTAAATACCATAAGCTCTTTTTTCCTTAAATAGGAAAGATGGAACCTTTTACAAAAAGTCCATGTTCCATTCATAGTTCATACCCTGCACAAGCTAAATTTAACTCCAAGGATTGCTCTTTCCTTGTGAAGGAAAATGATCGAAATGCTCACATTTCATGTACTCCCTCAGTCCATTAATTTCTTTCTCGCTTTCTTTTGTGGATCATCCACAAATTTCTTTCTCGTTTCTAGTTTTGGCAAAAAAACCTAGTGAGGAATGTACCATTGTACGTACTCCAACTTTTCATCTACATTATTCACTTTAATTACATCACATCAAAGACAAACATGGAAAGTCTTTACATTTTTTAACCTTTCTTAATCTCCGTGTCAAGTCAAAACGGGAAAGAAAGTATTGGACAGAGGAAGTATGGGTATTGCCTTTTTTAAACTAGACAAACTTTGATTGTCAATTAAATAAAAATTGCATTAGATATCAGTACAAACATCATTAGATTTAATGTATTTGGTGAATAAAGTTCATTCAGTTTAACTCGAAAAAGTAAAACTGAACGAATACTCTGAGTCGGAGGGAGTATATCTGAGTGAAGGAGAAACTTACTGCTTGAGATAAGCAACCGTACAAGCGTAATTCATGGGACTTTCCTGTTCAAGCTTGGCAACGCGAGGATGATCTCTCAGCAACTTAAGGGCCAATTCCGTAATGACACGCGTTCCCTTCCCGTGAATAACGAAGAGAACGGGCTCTGGCCCTCTTCCATCAATGGCAATGCTGAGTTGATGAGAAGCTTAATCTACTCGCATCCCACGCAAGTCTACGGAGTTTCTCTTTGTCTGCTTGACTCCTTCAGATTATTCTTCTTCATACCTTGTCGGACCTGAATATTCAAGTCACATATAGCCCTTACCCTCGGCTCCATATATCAATTGCTAAAATAAAGGCCTACTTAGTGACAAAATTTCCACACAATGACCCTAAAGGGTATGTTATGATCCTAGAAAATGGTGGGTGGGTGGAGGTGGAGAGAGGGAGGACTGAGAAGACATTTTAGAAGTGCTAGTCTTAAATTTTAATCTTGGAAAATAATATTTTGTTTCCAAAAAAACAAAAAAAACTTACGGGGTATTATAATCCGTATTAATTTAGATTTCTTAGTCTATACTGTGCAATAGAAATACAGTGTACATGAATAAGACGAGTTTTAACAAATATCACAAATAAATTTATTGAGTTTTGAACAAATGTTTCACTCCGTATTCTCTCACATTTTCCATATTTCAGAGTGTCACCTACATTTCCCTCCATATTTTCTTTCCCTGGCATTTCCCGAGTTTCAAAAGGGTTGGGGGCGAGAAAAAATAGATTATTTGACTGACCTGCTTTCTTGGACTCATGACAGAAGCTGTTGTAGTAGAATTGGCTACAATGGCTCTTATATTTCTTTTATCAACGCGAGCTCGAATTTTTCCATATTGGACGACAACAATTTCATCATCCCTGTGTTCTTCAACAACAGTAGCCAACTTATTCCCTAAACTCTTGACACAAACACGTTCGCCTACCCTTGGGGTATAAATAATTTGATCTCTTTCTCTGACACGTTCTTCTGAAGGCTGATGAGCTTCAACTATGGATGCAATTGCAGACTCTGATTTTCTAACAAGTGAATTTACCTGGCCAAGATCAATACTCTGCAGTTGGTGCTCGAAGTCCTTCAGTACGGCTTCTATCTTGACCTTCACAGCCCTCATTTCTTGTTTGATTTTCTGTGTTTCCTTAGCCTTCAGAGCCTCTTCGTGTTCCACTAAATCTTGTGCCTCATCTTGAATCTTCATTACACAAAAGTATTATTGAAACTGTGAAAATAAGCAACTAGATAGTTTAGTTTGAGACTACTTAGGGCATGAGTGCTTTCTAATCTAAGCACCAAGTGTTTCTTCAGCACTTTCTTTATAAATATGCATTAAAAGTGATCTTCTCTTGTAAAAGTGTTTTTCCACTGGCTTGCAAAATTCGTTGAAAAAAAGTCATCACACTCATAACCTCAGGTGCTATGTAAGCTGTACCTCAAGGAAACGATTCATGGCAATTGAGTGAAGAGAGGCAGCTTTCTTTGCTTCAGTTTCTAACCTCTCTCTTTCTTCTACTAGTGACTGGTAAAGGAAACATTTCTGCTTTTGCATCTTGTCTGGTTCAAATTTGTTTACCCATGCTTGTGCCCGATCAATCACTTTTTCATCAAAGCCGATTGATTTAGCAATAGTCCAGGCGTTTGACTCGCCCATGCTCCCCCAGAGAACCCTAAATGTAGGTTGCAGTGTGTCCAAGCAAAACTCCATTGCTGCATTACAATATTGGCTATCCTTCTCTTTCAAACGTGTTAAGTCACCATAGTGGGTGGTCACAACTGCTAAATTAACTCTCTCCTTGAGATACTGTAATATGCTTGTTGCAAGAGCTACACCTTCCGAAGGATCAGTCCCACTGCCGATTTCATCTATGAGAATGAGAGAACTTTCTGAAGCACACTCTATGATCCTGCAAATCCGTAAAATGTGCCCACTAAAAGTAGAGAGACTTTGTTCTACAGACTTGAATAGGCACAAAACAGTTTCACATCAACAATATATGATTTGTTTTATAAATAACAAATATAAGTTTAACTTAAGTGATACAGAAAATTTAGGACAAGACTACATGGGTGAGTTTGTAAATACTGAAAAATTAGACTGAATTGTAAATATAGAGTTTTGCAAAGATTCTATGTCGAGAGAGAGAGAGCAATTTTTGTATATCATTTTTAATTACTCTGTAGTTTATAATATGTACAAAAATTAATGATATTTTCATACGGAGTATCAATAAAATAATACCGGAGTAATGATTACTAAAGGGGTTGATTTTTTTAAATATTTATTGCCTCTTTATGTTATGATTATTGTATGGTTTGTTCTCGAAGATGTGTAACTTGTAAGCTCAAAACTTTACAAACATCCATCAGAGGCACAAAACATACATCAATAAGAGATTGAGCTTTATCATTTCTTACTAGATATACATGTCTGCTTGGGAATCGAGTATCCAGATTTTGTAAAATGTTAAAAATTTGTCCCAAAACTTTCAAGTGCCCAGGAATGTATGGTAGGTAGTGGCCTCTGAGATTATCTGATATGGGAACATTTTACAGTTATGCTAATACAGTGCCTTATTGAAGTATTTGTGCAACACATTGACAATATCATGCTAAGATAACACAAGAACAAGAAGAGAAAAGTAAAACAGAATGCAGAATAAAATGGACAAGTGCATGGAGAGAATGTGAAAGAATCAAGCACCTGAGCATCCCCTATATCCGCCAGAATTAAATCAAACCAAGGAAGCCTGGGCGTATTTTGAGCTGCTAAGTACATGCCAGCCTTGAACATAACAGAAGCAAGACCTAATGTTTTCATTGAAGCAGTTTTTCCTCCTGTGTTAGGCCCAGAGATCACCACCACTCTTTTTCCATGCTCGATTTTGATATCAATCGGTACCGGAAAAGCAGGTCCAATCTCTGATGGATCCTTCTTCAGATCTGAATAAGGTGAAATTTGGGATTTTAATCTTACAATATCAGGCAATCTTTTCAAGGACCGCTCAAGGAGCAAAGGGTGATGAATGCCTTCAATATCTACAGCTAAATTATTGCATCTTTCTGAGCTAAATGCAGGACAGGCCCCATCGATCCAATGAGCATGAGAAGCTCTAGCAAATGCAAAATCCATTTCTAATATTCTATCTAATAAATGTTCTATCTTCAGTTTGGATAGAGCAATTTCAGATGTAAGTGAACTCAAAACAGCCTGTTCCTCGTCCCTCTCAGAACTAGAAAGCTTCACTTCCATGTTATTCAGTTCAACTGCTTCTTCAGGTTCCATAAAGTACGTGGACCCAGTGCTACTTACACTCAAGATAACACCATTTGGGAGCAAAGACCTGTGGGAAGCCCTAATGCCAACACACATCCTTGAGCGGCGTTTCGTTACTAATGGTTTATCAATTCCACCAGCCTGAAAAACTCGAGTTGACACTTCTCCCAACATTAATTCCAAATTTTTCAAGTTCCTCCTTCGTTTGGATCTCACAATTCCTAATTCTTCACTGGCTCTATCAAGGATTACTGCAAGATCACAGTTGATACAGAGTTCTAAATTTTGTGCCAATTCAACCAGAAAATCACAATCTTGAAGCATTCCAATCAATGAAGACCGCCTGCTTGGATAAAATACAAGTGGCGCGCAACGAAACAGATGATCAACTCCCAGTTCAAATGACTTCATGCAACAGCCAAAGACTCCATTTTTCTTTCTCTTTTTTTTCCGTTGTAAAATCCGAACGTTTTATAAGTTCGGATTATTTTATTTTTATTATTCCCGCTGTAATATTCAACAAATAGAACTTAAATAATACCCCGAGTAGAGAAACGCAGAATAGAATACATTTATACAGAAAGTCGGGCAATTCTACTTGATATCCAAAAATTGTCTCATAATCAATACCTTCAGATGCTACAAAGAGGCCAATCAAAGTGTTGTAATGTGTGACTCCCTAAGTTGACTCAACTAGATGGGGAGAGCATGTCCCAATTGAGCTCGTCTTTTGAAAAGTATGATAGCTTCACATATACCTCACTGTTTCTTTAGTTAATTTTATACAGAGTATATTCATCTCAGAAATGGAACAAAAAGTTATTTTAACCATGTACCTGTCGCATAATTCACTCTGCCAGGGCATCTCTTCCAGTTGCTTGAGCAAAGATCCGGCTCCTACCAGAGTTCGTTTCACGGCACACAACTCACGAATCGAGAGTATCTGACCGGAGACAGCGGTATCGACGATCCCGGTGACGTCTTCAATTCCGGAGAAATCCAACGGCTGAGGAAGCGCAACGGCAGCGGAGGTCTGCTCCAAGAGTCTCCTACTCTCCTCCGGAGTCCGTCCCAGCGGAATCCTTGATGCACGGGCGGCGGAAAGCCCCATGGGGGTGGAAGTAAAGGCTGCGAGCTGAGAGCAGACGGCGGGCCATTCGAGGATCTGGAGCGTCTCGGACTGGAGCGATTCGGCAACCGATGCTGTGTGAGAATGAGTTGACTCGGAAGAGAAGGAGACAGAGAACCTCGGCGGCCGGAGGGGGAAGAGTGGCCGGCGAATTGGGGGAGCGCAGAAGGCTGTGAGGTTGCTATAGCTGAGTTCCATCGAAGAAATGAAGAACAGCTCCGAGTTCGAATTTCACGGGTTACGGGTTTTATCCTACCCGATTTGGAGGGAAAGCTGATGGGAAGAGAATCAAACACTTCTTTGATACAGTAGAATTTGGTTAGAAAAGGAAAGAAAAAACAATTGGAGGTAAAAAAAATTGAGGAAATATATTGAGTTAAAATGAAATACTCCGTATAAAAATGAATTGAGGAACAAATTTGAAGGAGTACATAAAGTAAAAATTTAGGAAATATTATAAAAAATAAATTATTTTTATTTATTTTTCAAGGACAATGTGCATTCTTTCATTTGGTACATGATAAGGAACACAATTCTAGTTTTGAGGAGTCAATAGTTTTAGAAACTAGGCGGGAACGAAACCAACTGAGAGAAGGAATAGAAATGGGTTTTGTTACCGACTTTGCGGGCCAATTTCGTAATTTTCATTTCCAAAAAATGGGGTACCAACTACAATTAAGGTCAAAATGGGATTCATGTTCCATTGAATAAGATTCTTTTAACTTGAACTAAATATGACTCGAACATTTTAGAGCACGTACAGTACTTCATTGACAAAATTAATGGTTTTTCCTCTCTAATCTTTACCCAAACTCCCTTGCCCTCCTACACTCCACTCCATGGGTTCTATCCCCTCCCTCCCCCCCAACCACCAATTTGGACAGCCCAAATTGGTGATCTAAAGTGGGCTAGGGTAGGGTGCAGGGAGTGCTAATTATCAATTTATTAACAGAGCATGTAGGCACATCTGGTTATTTTAAGGTCAAACTACCTCGATCAAAAGAATTGTGTTATTTTCCAAACCATTGTTGAGCTTAATGCTATCTTAAGACCAATACATATAGAGCTGTTTTGGACCTCCCAACAATTATTTTTTAGAGGGATGATTTTTTTTAGTACTATTGACTTTATTACAATGTAATATCTATTTTAGAAGTGCGTGCATTATGACGGTTCAAGACTTTTATAAACTCTGTACCATACCATTACTATCTACATAGTTCGGTATGGTACGACACGATTTTAAGATAAACATTACTGTTGGATTTAATAGCTTCGGGTTTTCTAAAGATCCAATGGGATCTCTAGGCCCAAAATATTATGAATCAAGGTATGTGTTTGGGGAAAAATATGAAGATAATAAGGCAATGATTTTTACGTGGAACCTAAATCTGAGAGAAAACCACAAACCCTTTTCGGCCAAGTCAAACCAAAGTGTTCTTTATTCATATATTGTTTGGTGGTACAAAGGCTAGAAGCCATGAGAGGAAGGCTCAACAAGCTTCCTCTCTCTAGAATACAAGTGGTGAATAAGAGAAGAGAAGGCTCCTTAAACAACACATCATTTCTTCTATTTATACTAGGGCAATTAGGGTTTGCCAACCCTAATGGGCCATTACATAGGCCATGGAGTGGGCCAAACAATCGCCCTTCCCACTAGTTCCCAGTCCTTTAGTCAGGCTCGGGTATGTCCACTACTCTTGTCCATATGCTCCTCGGGATCAGGACATGGCACGTTGGTTGGTACATACCACTCTAGTCGGTAGGGCTGTTCACATTTAGCTTTGGACTAAAAAAGCCGATCGAACCAGACCGTTTGGTCCAGATCGAACCCGAACCGAATGGATTCGGGTCAGTCTTCGGTCCAAAAAATTTAGACATTCGGATTTCGATCCGGTCCAGTCCCAACCTGAAAGGATTTAGGTCCGAGCCAATAGGACCGAATGGACCTAAGGACCCTACTGAACCTAAAAGACCTAAATACTAAAATTCTACTTTGTAAGTTTCGTATTACACTTTGATGTTCTATTTTAATAAATATCTTAATTTATTTAATTAAAAGGGTTTTTAAAAGTAATTTTCAAAAAAATACCAAAAAAATGTTTCATATTAGTTTTTATGATTCTACATAGAATTTATTCATATTGTGTTTTAGTTTTAGGTTGTCTATTTTTTTTATTCTTTTTCTATTTGAATGGTACAAAGTAAAAAGCCAAAAATATAATTGATCAAAATAATTAAAATTATGTATTTTTATTCGATCCAATCAAGTGACCATGTTCTATTATTATTATTTTTATTCGATCCATTCGATTCAATTGTTTCCCCTTTTTAAGTTTTTGTACGTCCAACTTTCATTTTAGTCCCTATTTAGTACACTCTCCTTTCTAGAACTAACTTTTCAGTTGGTTCGGGACTCCTATTTAAGTGTGTCAGTGTTATTTAGGAGTGTTCAATCGGATTCGATCCGAAAATTTGGATATCCAAAAATTTCGGATCATGTAAAACTCATTCCATATCCGATCTGAAAATATTCGAATATCTGAAATTCGGATATCCGATTTTTCGGATTGAATCACTGGATTATCCGAAAAGTTGAATTTTTAGCCAAAATTTACAAAAAAAAAGGTAAAATATCAAAATCAACCCAAAATATCAAATTCAATATAGATTTACTAAAAGAAAAATTTCACCACTAAGTAATGGCCTAATAAAAAATGATACCAAATTTAATTTGGGAGTAACTTTGGTAATTTTGTCTAAACAAACAAAAAAACACTATTAAAACAAAAGATTATAAAATGCTAATGTAAAAAATCCAAAATGGTTTAGTTCCAAAATCAACATAAAATTACATTTAAACATATAGTCATAATATATATCCATAAAATTCCAAAAACATATAGCAAAAAAAAATCGGACATCCAATTATCCAAAAAATTTCAGAAATTGAATCCATATCCGATCCAATTTTTCTCGGGTATCCGATCCAAAATATCCGAAAGCTAAAATATCGGATCGGATATCCATTTTTCGGATCGGATTAGCCCGGATTGTGGACGGATATTTCGGATCGGATATTTTTGAACTCCCCTAGTGTTATTGTACTCCCTCCGTCCCTAAATATTTGCCACTTGTATTCCCGAAATAAAATATCAAGTTTTTTCAATTCATTTTATTTACATATTGGTATAGAAATAAAAAAATAAAATTTACACATCAAAAAACTACATGAAAAATTCTTCGAAATAAGAGATGTCAAGAATATTTTATTTTATCAAATAATCAATGAAAACCTAAAAATAAACAAAAGTTCTCGCGACTGCTGAAAAAGCAAATGTTGTAAATATTTTGGGGCGGGGGGGGTATACTCCTAAATTAAAAAGAAAAAAATCACTGAATAAAAGTGAAAACCCCCAAATTCCGATAATAAAATCATGTTTGTGGTATTTGAGAGTTTCTATATTGTAAATTTAGATATATACATAGTACATTGTTATTTTATAGATTCTTTATACTCCCTCCGTCCCCAATTTGATTACAAATTGCGGGTTACGAAGTAAAATTTCCTACTTTTTGAAATCATTTTATTTACAAATTAGATATCAACAAGATATAAAAATTACATATTAAAAAACTACGTCAAAAGTTCTACAAAACAAGAGGAGACAAGAATATTTTATTTTATCAAATACTTAATGAAATCGCGTAAACAAACAAAAGTTATCGAGAAAAGAGAGAAAAAATTGTAATCTATTTAGGGACGGAGGGAGTATGTGCATTTGCAAGTTATACGATGCTCATTTATTAAAAACATTCATCAAATAAATGAAATTCACGTGGATTAAAAGATGTAACCAAATACACAATTAAACTTAACACACGTTTAAATCAGTCAAAACATTCATTAAAAAACTCAGTTACACAGGATAAAAAATGAGCTAATTATGCCATGGTAGGATTTAAGATGCAAATTTAAAAATTATAAAAGTATTTACATGAACTTTGCCAAATTAGTTTTATCACAAAACACTCCGTAATTAAAGTAAAAATATATGGTGCACCAATATATTTTTGTATCCTTGCACAACAAATGTACTGCTTAGTAGTACTAATTTTTTTTTACAAATCATTCTTAAGTAATGGTCAATGTTACCTTTTAAATTTTTACGTTTGTTATCAATATTTTTATTTTACTTTTGTTATCAATTTTATCAAAATTAGACAAATACTCAAAGACATGAATTATATTTTCACAATAACTTGTTAAAAAACAAATCAGGCCGAAAGGCACTTAGGAACGAGATCCGACCGGAACTGCCCATCACCAATACGGTCCCCTAAATGGGTACCGGGTATCGGCAATTCCGAAACCGAAACAGAACCAGAGTGGTAACAACTAACAAGCCACCCTTAGCTAATTATCTCTTGAAAACGAATTTATTTATACACGATTCCCTACGTTAGAAATTGCTTTTAGTGCCACTTCAAATCCGGGGAAGCTGGATTACTTCTATAAGTGTGTAAAAAGCACTAGTAAAAGAGATGTACAGTACTTGAGAAATAAATATATAATGAATTCTGTACACTTGGACAAACTACTCTTCCCAGCCCTTGCATAAGTCCTAAAGTCCTCCTCCCAGGGGTACCCCCCCATGAGACAGCCACTAAATTCCCCTTCTGAGAAGTAGACTGTTCACATCAACTAAATAACAACTCAGAAAAATCCTACGAAAGTAGGGTCTGGGAAATGTGTGGGTACGCAGACCTTACCCCTACCCGAAAGTAGAGAGGACATCAACTAAATAATCATAAAATGTAATCAAACTGGAAATTTGTTCAATGCTGGGACCATACCATACCATACCATCCTTTCTATACAACTCGGACCCACGACCCGCCACACATTGGACACCCGTACACCCACCGGCTGACCCACCCGATCTCCTTGTCGCTCGGATTTCCCAGAGTGGTCCCCGGCGGTGTGAAGGTGCAAGACTGCCTTAAACACCTTATGCACTGCACAAAACGATAAAACATAGTAACCGTGAAAGATGAACAAGGCCAATGTTATAAAACTTGTCTGGGGCCCAGACATGTTAGGAGTAAAATTTTGATTTTTAGAAACCCATGACAAATCCTAATTTTCTTGCATGGAAGAATGAGAGAAGTTTAAACAAGGGAGGGTTATCCCATGCTGATTTTGTCCGGAAGAAAAAACCAACTCGAAATGATGACGGATATGAAAATGACAACAATAACAATACTGAGTAATAGATAATTAATTGGCAAACTCTGAGTTTGCGAACTCACCTTGTACCAGACGCCTTCAAGACCAGTCTTCCATATAGCAGTAACCACATCCCTGCGAGACCCCATAATGCCAAGATACACACCGAGACCAGCTGAAGTATTCAGCCCAAAAGCAGCGTCCCTTTCCGACATTCTACGCTTCCTCGGCCATAAACGACGGGGTCCACCATAGTGAACAGCATCACAGTATTCTTTTAATGGGTTACACTCGAAATCATCTTTAAATGGGCCAAGTGTAGAGCTATCCACTGAAGAGCCATTAACATCATCTGGATCAGACCAGGGTCCACCGTGCATATTCCTTCTGTGCCATTCTTCTGATGGAGGGTGGAGTTCTAACTCACGAAGTAACAGGCCTGCAGCGTCTGCACCTCTTGGCCGTGGCATATTCTGCTAGAATATTTGCACGAAAAAAATATTTTTATTCAGAAACTAGAACACCCCCACCCCCCAAAATATCAATTCCACTGAGTTAATTAATAAAGACAAATGATCAATATGAACAGCACTACTCTTAAATGAGGGACTATAGAGCAAGTACACTGAAGGTCAATTTGGAGGGAGTGTGTTGGAGCATGCTAAACCTTTGTACTCCCTCCATCTTGTCATGTATTCTGTTTTCATCTGTCCAAAGATTTTGTTCTAATCTAAACTTCACTAAATCTTTGCCTCTCCACTTTATCCTTTCTGTCCTTTCATCTTTTTACTTTTAGTATGGTTCACGTCATTTTTCTGTTGCAAGGTTAAAATGATAAAGCAATAATCATGCGTATGAAACTCAGTAAAATCCCACAAAAAGTAGGGTGTGGGGAGGGTGTGTGTCCGCAGACCTTGCCCCTACTCGGAAGTAGAGAAGCTGTTTCTAAGAGGCCCCCCGGCTCAAACGCAGATGCACAGATAAAGTAAATGCAGTAGCACGACTTATTCTCTTAAGAACAAACTGTGCCCAAACCCAAATGTATCGTATAGATTGTGAGAGGGACTGAGAATATTTGAAATTATATAAATATTGGAGTAAGATAATAATTAGTCAGTAATCATGTGACATTCATTAGGCTGTTTATTTTGGATGGAGGATTTTGGAAGAGAGGCCACTGAAAATGTTATTCCTGACTGTAGTAATGCTGGGTAAAAAATGTTTAGGCTGGTGGCATAGCTAACACACAAGTACACAATACTTCTATGATATTATGAGCATCCAACCCAACAATCTTTAAAAAACCCTTCGAAGCCCAACGATACATTTACCCGACGTAGCAAAGCAGGGGCACAACCATCATAAGAAAAGTACCTGCATATGTGGTCCAAGGGAAGCTTCTACAACTTCGGGTAGAACAGTATAGTTCCCATCTATATAATGAAGGCGGATCTGTATGTTGCTACTCCCAACCTGAGAAACTGGCAATGGATGTGCCAGGCCTGCTGTACGTCGGCAAAGGTCCATTAAGATAAGAAAGAGAACCTTAACCTGCAATTTTTTTATTTAAAAAAAATGCATCAGTAAAAAGCTATCCAGGAGGGGGGGATTACATACTGCCTCCGTTCCATAATAAATTTCTTCATTGGGCCAGGCACAGTGGTTAAAAAAAGGTATAAATGTGTGGCTGGGATTTATGAAGAGAAATACAGTGCAACCACAAACTTTTTTCATTAAAGGAAAAGTGGAACTTTGTTTTTGCATTAAATGTATCTTTATTATGATTTGCAGAGTATATAATTCTAGTTTCCATCTCATTCTACCTTCACCTAAATGACTAGTCATGCCACAAGATGCTACTCATTTTTGCAACTCTTCACAAATCTTCAAGTTATTATAAACTAGCTCATCGATGCTTAACGAGAAATAGTTGTCCCATTTAATGGTTTAACTATTTAGCACATTCACAACCACCAAGATCTCATGGAATATTTATAAGCTTTGAGTGGATAAACTTTAAACGTGCCCACTACTGCCCAGATGTCACCACAAACCTTCAACCTGCATACTTTTCTAACTACCTGATGAGTACAATTAATAAAATTATAAGTGCCTTCATTTGCACCACATTTAAACAATCCTAATTCCTATCTGTGGGTGTCTAATACATAAAGTTAAAATGAAACAAAAATTTAATTAGGGCAATGGCGCCTTGGAGGCTAGATCTAAAATTGTCATGATTTCATTTTTATTTGATCATTTAATTAATTGTCTATTGCTGATAAGGAGTTGGGCAATTAGCTCACCACACAGATTACTGGGCAGCCAGCTTATGAATCTTAAAGGTACAGGCATAGAGCAATAGCAGCATCAAAGCAAAAATGACAAAGAGAAGAGCAGCACAAAGAAAATAACCAGAAACTTTGGAAACTTAACATTACCAAGTGAAAGAAAAAGATCAGGGCATTTGGAACATTAATAAAGTACCTCGTCATATGTATAGCCTTGTCCAGCATTGCCAGAACCAATCCTGGATCGGTTGGACAAGGCATCTTCAGATACCTTTCCAATAGAGCCAAGATGACCACCTGCTGCAGATTTTGCAGCAGAGTTGGCTTCTTCTAGTTTGGCAAGAGGAATGGACTGCTGAGATTTTTGCAAAGAAGAATCAGCATTCCTCTGACCAGCTCCGATATAGCGGGGCAATTGTGTTCGGCGGAAAAAGAAACAGAAATGCAACAATTGACATAAACGGTGAAGAAAATGGCAATCCCCAATAAGTCTAACAGCTGGAGTTCCCGGGAAAGTCCCAGTGTTTATACTAATAGGCATAAGAGTTGATGGACCACTAATTGGGCTTGGGGCTGAATTTGGAACACTCTCCGCGCTGCTACTAATCTTTGCTATGGCTCCCTGGACCCATGCATGCATCTGTGTGCTTCCAGAGGAGCTTGGAAGACCACCCTGAGCACCTGGAAGGATCATTGCGAAAACATAAACAGGCAATAGCAATTCAACCAAATAGGAGGGAGTTTGAGAAAGCGCAATAAATCAAAACAGGGTCACTTGATCAGAGGGCCTTCACTTCCAAAGACAAAGATCCCCCCAAGGCATCTTTAGTCAAAGTATATCTTTTGAATTTTTTCCAAAATTGAACTCTTATACGTCATGAAATCCTACTCGTTTTAAAATTTCATATGTTGGTTCACCTGAATTTATATATATATATATATATATATATATATATATATATATATATATATATATATATATGGTACATATTTAAAAGATGAGTGCGACTCTAGTGATACATAAAAAAAAGAATTTTTATTATCAAAGATGAGTCTTCTTTGGAAAAAAAGGTTTTTAATAGAAGAAATCTCATTCGAGACAAAACATGAACTACAATGCTCGAGACAAGTACTAACCCTGAGTTGTTGCTGGAGGAGCAGAACTTTGGATAGGACTGCTCACCATATTTCGACTCCCACCGGTGCCTGCAGTAACAGCATGACTGGCTAATGTGCGGCAGAAGCTTGCATAACGTCGTAACCTTGTAATAAAATGAGATGCTAGATCAAGTATTGCATCCACATAAGCCTGCATTGAATTTACACGGGCAATTACAACTCAATTCAAGTATTTGAAAACTTCTTTAACAGGGAAAGTGGGAAACAATTACAAAGAAAAAAGCCCCTGAATATGAAATTTATATGACACCTGTATGCTTGGAACTAGAGCTGGATCAACAGACATTGCTTCAGTATCAATACCAAATAGTGTGTCACTGGATGCTTGCCATGGTTCTGGGACCAAAGCTGAAGGATTCATTAAAGCTGATTCAATTCCTTTGCCAAGCATATCCAATAACAACCTTGCTTGCATGTCAAGAACCATAGCCCTGACTTCTTGAGCACTTGTACCTTCTAGAAGCCTACATTTGATCCTGTCTAGGCTCTGAATAGTTCAAAATTTTACAATAAGAAAACTGTAAGGATCTTGTCTGCAAAATAAGATTATATCATTATATATACTGAGTCAATAATACATGGGAGCATGACACACAAATTTAGGAAAATTGGAAATGTGCAGTTGATAATGAATTTGTAAATTATGAATCGATTTGAGCCACATAAATCAAACCAAATATGGTGTAGGACTAACATTTGGGGCAGTCTGAAATGGAAAAAGGACAAAAATTGTGGGGAAGGGGTACCATTTATTAAGAGTAACTTTTTTTAGCCGAGGGTCTCTTGGAAACAACCTCCCTACTCTTGAGTAGGGGCAAGGTCTGCGTACGCACACCCTCCTCAGACCCTACTCTCGTGGGTTTAACTGGGTTGTTGTTGTTTTGAAGGATTATTAAGAGTAACTTATTCTGTTTAATTGAAAATATAAACACTCCTCTAAAAAATATAGATTTACAATATTACTCGTGTAATATAGATTTATGATACATGTAATAGACAAATCGAATGTTGTAGGAAACTTGCATAAGTTTATTATAACAATAGATCACTCCTTTAATAATGATTAATGATCGCTATAATTGGCATACCATAATTTGAACATAACATATACAATTGTATTAAAGCAATAGAGAGTAACACAATGGATTATATCAGCAAATGAAAAATTAAAGTTCATAAAGATCTGATGAGGCTAAAAATTGTTTAAATACGTAGTTTGTGGAGTTGAAAGCATTAAACACGTACAGGCCCATATTGTTGTCTGTGGTGTGTGGATGGAAGAGAGTGAAAATCTGCATCCAGTACAGCAATGACACTGTTCAAGGAAACTGAAATTAGAAACAAGCTTGGTTAGGATGAACTAATTGTGAACAGTGAATAATCATATCAAACCTGAGACTAAATACTATGTAAGAAATGCAGAATGGTATATTAATTTTTTTAAGTGCCTTATATTAATGAGAAAACAACAGAACATACTCAATGCATGCATTGTGTGCCCAGTCTAGTTATATAGAATGGTAACAAGAAACAAGGAGATACAAAAGCGCGCAACATGTGCACATAGTACTGCTAAACATATTATTCCTCCGTACAAAATGAAGTTATACATTCATCACCAATAATTGATATCATTAAAAGAAATAATCAATTATTGGTACTGATTATTAGACGTTAGATGTTTGGAAAATGGCCCTCTAAAGAAGAACAGAACCCCAAATAAATATAAAGGATAAAAACAAAAACGAATAACTGATTTGACTCCTACAGTCTTACCGATGCCATCTTCTGCAGCACTTTGGGTACACCCAACAGCATCCCACCAATCAATTCCAACTAAAAGACTCCACCAAAACCTACCGAATGACGCAAACAATTTCTTAAAAGGCAGTAGCGTTGTTTATATATATAAAACAATCAGGAAAAAAACTTCAATATAAATCCTGGCCTAGGAATACAATAGAAAATCAAAGATGGGCTACAGCTCCAGGGTACCTCTCCGCAATTGCACGTTCCCACATTGCGGAGTTAGATTTCACCAGATTACTTGGAACGGCAGGAGGGAGGACACGAATTATCTTCAACATGGAACAATCTTTTATGCTGTCATGCCAAACAGTAGCAGAGCAACAACTTGTTGAAGAGAATGCAAGAGCAGGAATTGCATGCCCAACACTTATACGGTAGCTATCAATAGGTGTGAAACTTGGACCTGAGAAAACATTAACCCCACCACACAAAAAAGCAACTGCAATTTCACCTCCATGAGCAGAATAAACAATCCGTGCAAGGGTTCTAATGTCACTTGGAAGATCAAAAGGATCAAAAGAGACCCTCTTTGGCATCACAGCAGCAAGATCTGATGAATTTTGCACATCACACGCAGGTATAGCTCCAGCTGCTCGTGGACCTTTAAATTCTGTAGGTGCTGGAATGCATTTGTTTACTTTACTCACCCAAACTGTCTGCTTGGGAGCCTGTCCACCAAAGTTAGCTGTCGGATTACCAAATATTTGATGGAGAACAACATCCTCCACAGATGATTCCCAACGTTGAACTCTCCATCCTGTTACTGAAGGGCCTTCATCAGGATCATATGGGGACATGTACTGTCCTGAGTAATAAAATATGAGAAATTTATTAAGCATATGTATAAGACTAGATCCCTTGGTATAGATGTTAACTTGTCACATTACAGTTTCAATAGTACACATATGTTCTAAAATGAAGAAGCACAGGAGCACAGTTTCAATAATACACCAATACTGTGGCGATTTAAACCAGAATGCAGTATATGAGGTATATCCAATCACTTGGTCTTGGGTCACAAAGCCATAACATGCAGGTAGATGGGAGAGAGAAAAGGAATAGGTTGCTTGCAAATAAGAACCTGTCTATGACTATGACTATATTAGTAGAAAAAATACAAGTATAATATTGCACCAGAATTGAAATTCAGAAACTATTGCAACAACACTAACCTGCAGAGCACACACACACATATATATATACACACACACACACACATCCACACCCATAATTTACATGTGTCTGATGTTGGTTGATCTTTTGCAAAGAGTGCTTAATTGAGTTTTGGTGACTTATTACTGTAATACATGACTACCCCTTTAAGGACTCATTACTGGCTTATGAGAGAACCCTTTAAATGACTCATTACTGGCTTACCATAGCACCCCATAAATGACTCATTACTGTCTTAAGCAATCCCAATAGAGTGCCTAACTGAGGCTTAGAATAAGATTTTTTTGAAAATTATCAAGTAATCCTCCGTCCCAAATACAAATTAGTTGTCCACATTCGCAATAACTTTTGTTTTCTGATGCATTTTCATTAATCATTATGTCATCTCGTGTTCTTTAGAATTTTTTATGTAATTCTTGAATATGTACTCCATAGTTTTTATTTCAAAATAAGGATTAAAAAAGAACTTAATAAACAACAACAACAACAACAACCCAGTTGGATCCCACTACAGTAGGGTCTGGGGTAAAAAAGAACTTAATATTACCTCATAAAGAACCATGTGTATTTCTTTTAGGAACGGAGGGAGTAAAAAAGATAATCAGTTCAAAGTCAGGAACATTGACAACATTTACTTTTAAAAATAATGGGCATTATAATGAAGTGTATTTGTTACAATAATGTGATACATCTAGGCTAATAGACAACAATTCATGAAAATGCAAAGATGATACATATTGCCCCCGGGGCATGGCTTAGTGGTTAAAAAATCCAAGATAAGGTGTTGTGGGATGTTTGGCTGGCAGCCGCAAAGTACAGGATTCGAATCCTACTGATGATGATGGTATGGTTTTAGCTTTGTTGTGGAGACCCTAAGACCACATGGCCAATCCCCAGATTTACCCATCCACCTGGCTCAGTGGCAAGGACGGTGTGGCCCTGGGGGCCATCATGATTAGGGTGCAATCCTTTCTGCATAGTGGATGTCGTGATGTAAAGCAATAAGTTATTAGACAGATCTAACCATTGAGACATTTAAAACCCATCAGTCATCACTACCATCCTACACCAAACTATGGGGTTGGTGAAATGAAGTTCATAGTGTCGATTAAATGTCTCAAATTAGTTGGCACTGAACATTCATGCAACAAGCATCTAAAAAAGGGTTAGAGAACATAACCATAGAGCATATAGACTATGACATCAGCATCTACATTTTCTGAATGCAAGCAGGTTTTTAACATATGAAGCACTACACTTGGGCTACACTAGCATGCCAGTGTTTTATCCTTGATGCTAAGTCAATTAAAAAATCCTTGCAGTGTACTGAGAAATAAATGAACTGAAACTTCTGTTGCCATCAAGCACATTTATAGCCATAGGAAAACCATAATTAGGTCCCACAAGGAACATGAAATTGTTAATGCTAAGCTAATAGAGAATAAAGAAACAATTGCACCTTTTTGCAAAAGAAATATATAAGCAAATAGAGAAAAAGAGGACCAATAGCGGCATCATTGGAAAAAGTTCAAGCAAAATAAGAAAGTGGAAGAATAAATATAGAAAGGCAACTTACACTATTTTATTGTAATTATCTTCAAAACACCAAACCAACATAATTTAGAAGGTGATGCTAATGATGATGAATATCTATTAATGTAAATCTTTTTATCTATATTTGAAGCTATTAATTCCTAATAGCTTTGGTAAGTCTGAAAAAGACAGTGCCAATAAAAAACACAGCATCAGATCTGAGTGGCATCAGGGCCATCGGAAGGTATCTGAAGATGCCCTGTCCAGCCGATCCAGGATTGGTTCTGGCAATGCCATAAGATGCACCAATGGAGAGGGCCATAACGCTACAGGGGAAAGGTTGGTGAATGTGTAGGCACATTAATTCCCCTATTGGTGCATGCGCTCAAATGCCAAATCTCCTATCTATCCACTCTATACGAGGAGTTCACAACCATCAATCGTCAAAAAAAATTCCTTTATCCTTTAACTCCTATTTGATCACACTTATGGCAATCAAAATTCCTAATACTCCCACGTCCTTCACTATGTAAGCTTCATTTCCACTATTCACAGGGTCAAACTATATTTTTTTCTTTACTTATTTACTTTAATCATTTGTTACAAAAAAAGTTCATGTCACCCCTTGCTTTATGGAACTTTTGATGTAGTTTTAAATTTATAAATTTTATTTTCTAAATCTAACCCAATATTTAATTAAACTAATTGGAAAATAACTTCAGTCAAACATTGTAAACTGAATCAGGAAACTACTCCCTCTCCCCCGGATTAATAGTCCTCATTTCCTTTTTGGGACGTCCCAAAGAATAATCCTCTTTCCACTTTTACAAAATTTTAGTGGCTCATATATTCTCTCTCCTCTCCATAACTTGCAACCACACAGTTTTACTTTTCTTAAGCTCCGTGCCAAAACAAATATGAACTATTAGTTTGGGACATAGGGCAAATATGAACTATTAGTTTGGGACATAGGGAGTATTTTATTAACTTACATTGTTTTTCAATCTACGTGCAGAAGAGGTGATATTTACGAGTTCCTAACAATGATGATTAAAAAAACATCAACTATAAATACTACTATAAGAAACATAGAACATGATGTATAGCAGTCACCATTCTACTCAACATGTAGCAAAACAGATCAGTACAAGGACAAATCATACCCTCAACAATCACAACAGCTATCACGTAGCCGCCACGAGTGGGATCAAATGCAACAGCGGTGACACCGGAACCCCATGTAGTGGTAGTAGCTGATTGAGATGCAGCCTCAGGACTCACGTATGCAGAAAAGTTGGAAACTGGTGAACAATGAAGCACAACCATGTCACTGTAGTCTAGCTCTGTATATTCTTTCCCTTGTTTTGCTTCTTGTGATAAAAATTCTTGCCAGCTAAATAAATAAGCTGCCAGAGGAGAAAACCCTTCCCATGAAGGAGGATTAAGTGATGGTGGAACCCCACTGCTCAGGCTTGCCTTCTGAGTTGCTTGAAATTCATTTCCAGGCCCTGGAATAACCTCCCAAACAACTACGGTTGATGGATTCACAATTGGGACACCTGCCACGTGCAAGGATCCAGAATCTGTTATGATAGCATCTGCAGCCATAATGCCACTGGGCCCAGCTCCCAAGAGCCCTTTGCTTGAACAAAACCATTTTGATGGCTGACAACTCTGATCTGGTGGCCATTGTGACCAATGGAGCTGAACAGATCCTGATAAGAATACAGAGCATACACAGAGAAAATTTGGCCACCCAGCTGCACCCAAATGGAAACTCGTATTAATTAATGGATTCATGGAAAAATATATAAACAAACTAATAACACAAATTGGAAGATCAGAAAACAGCGCATGAAAGGAGTATATCAATGACTGTGATGAGAGAAATCTAGCACGCCAATAAAAGCAGATCATACAAAAAAACAAGGTATGGAGTAGAATAATAGGATTTAAGCTTTTGAGAAAACAAGGAGCGCTGGAAAGACGTTCCCCTCAGATAAAGGACAAACGATCCCACATAAAATACCACCAGCCAAAAATCTAACAGAAAAATGCCATCGAAAAGAAAAATGCAAGAAATCCGTGTGAATAAATGGAATTATACATGTACATATAATGATATAAATGATTGTCATCAAAAGGGTTAACCCTTTCATTTGCTCTTTTATTTTTACCAGGAAAGGCAAGAGTGGAACCAGATAAAATTCTGGCACTATCAATATGTACATGTATGGAAAGGACAGTCATTTCATATATCACTTGGAAAAAAAAGAAAACTTTTTTTAATTAAGTATTGAAACAAAACAATAGGACGCTACATTCATTTGTGATATGGCACATCAATTAATATACCGGCAAACTACGTAGAAACAAACAAGGGATGGCAGATAACAGAACTAAAGAGAAAAGTGTTAATGTATTTGGCTGTTCGCCGTATTCTTCTTCTTATTATTTATACCATAGACATTCAGACCACAATACCACATTAACCAGAGAGGTTAAACTTTTTAGATTAGATCACATTTTATTACATTTTTCAGGCAAAGAGAATAGTACTCTGTATAAAGTAACCTAAAGCACGTGTGTAACCACATATTGCTACCACAAGAAAAGGCAAATAAAAAAGAACCTGGAGGCTGTAGTTGCTGCGAAAGGAATTTCTCCTCAAATATTGACTTTGTGGCACTACCAGACCTTGATGAAAGCCACCTATACTAATGTTAGGCAAAACAAAATAGACAATGATTTAAACATGAAAAGAAAAATACATTGCACTTAAAAGCAGTATTCTGTTATATAATTGCATACCGGAGACAGACCAGACAACCACTTAGTTGCAACTGCAATATCCTGCCGCCATTCATATTCTTTCTGCCAACAGCTAGAATCTCTTATCAGATTAGCTGGACCCTGAGTGATGGAACCAAACGAAAAAAAGTGATTGAGTAGATATGAAAGAGAATTACTTACATATAAGGAGTTAAAGCAATTAGTTCAACACTCTAGAAAGTAGAAACCATGTAGTAATAGCCTTGTTTAAAAAAACAAGTACAACATAGAAATACAGGCTTTGCTGCATTGAAGATGCCTTACTTGAGAAGGTTGAGTCCAGATAGTTGTTCTTCCATGGAAATTAGCAACAAGAAGAGCACGAGGACAAGATGTAGGAGACCATTCAAGAAATTGAACTGAATCACGTGGAGAATCTGAAGAAAATCCAAATGAACACATTAAACTAATTGTAACTTATATGCTGCAACTAAGCAACTGAAGTATAAGCATATTAAAGGCATAGAAACTAATTATCACTTCAAGTATAAGCAAAAATCACAATGCACAGTGAACTATCACTGTGTCTTGATTAAACAAGACGGCATTTCAAATTTGTTGGGAGGACAGCAATGCATCGAGGTGAAAGCACTTGGAAATTTGTCAGTGATCATCTTTGAAACCAGTTATCCAATGGAAGGTGTTAGAGAATTACAGGTGTTAGCACACTGAATGAGCTTGTTATATGCAATACTTCTTGTTTAGCATTCAAGACTGAATCAAGCAATAGTTTTAACATCAAACCAGGAATGCTACAATCTTTAAGCTCACTCATGTCATTAAAGTCAACATTATTTTAAGTGGCATACTCAAGCTACAGAATGCCACTAGAAAATTTCATTACCTGCTATAACATTAAAAAGTGGGCAATCAGTTGGATGCACTGGTATCACAATATGTATGGGGATCCAAAACGAAGGGTTTGCATTTAAACTGTCCCAGAACCAAAAGTTTAAATTAATAGATAAACAGGTGTGAATGTGCACTGGTGCTAGCGATGACCATCATCAAAGCCAGATATTCAATGAAAGGTGTTGTGAAATTACAGATTTTGGCATAGAGAATGAGCTTGTCATATATTCCCTCCATCCCACTAAGTCTGAGTATGGGGTGTTGGCACACAAAGTAGTAATGAATGAAATTGTGTAGTTGATATTAAGTACTAAATATGAAAAGTATGCATTGAGTAATGATGATTTGGACCACACAAACATGTCAAATGTGGAAACTAGCAAAGATAGTAGGATGCACGATGATAGGTAAAAAGAATCAAAGATAGTGAGGAGAGGAGTAATACTTTTTGTTTAGCACTCAAGAGTCAAGACTGAATCAGTCAACAGTTTTAACATCATATGCAGAATCATACACATCTTTAAGCACACTCTTCTCACTACCACACCATGATTTAGGTAAGTGGGACATCCGAGCAACAGACTGCCACTAGAAAAGTTCATTACCTGCTATAACATTAAAAACTGTACATTCAGTTGGACGCTCTGGTATCACAATATGTATGGGGATCCAAAACGGTGGGTTTGCATTTGAACTGTCCCAGAACAAAAAGTCTAAATTAATAGATATAAAGATAAGAATGTACAAGCATTGGGGTTAAAAGATCACAATTGAACGCAACCGCAATAACAACCAACTCAGTAGAATCACGCGCAGTGGGGTCTATGGAGTGAATGAACACAGACCTTTCCCTTGCTTTACAAGATCACAACTGAATAGGTGGATGAATATTTTAACTATGAACACCCCACCCTAACAGCGGATTTCTTTCTTATTTGTGCACCATTCTTAAACACTATTATGTCACTTTCATGTTACCATTGCTAAGGAATAATTGTTTAATTCAAACAAACATTCCTTTAATGTGAAGCTGGTGAGTTAGTCTACACGTTAACTTTATTTTCATAAGGAAATTGTGGGCAAATGTGTATATAGGCATGCCATTCACTTTCAAGCATTAAAAATGTCAAGAGGAAGCACTGACCTAGGGATTCTTGCACAAGTTTCAGATGCACATGCTATGGCATTCAGCTTTCCACACCACGTGATGGCACTAGGTACAAATACAAAAGAAAAGTAAGATCAGTTACCATAAATCCCATTGTTATGCAAAGCAATGAGACAAAAAAAAAGGAGAGAGGTAATAGTAATATAGATGTGCCAATCAAAAAGGTTCAGACTTCAGAGATCTTAGCACAGCTTGAGCTCCTTGAAAAAAGTAGCTACTTTATACTCCCTCTGTCCCAAAAAAAGTAGCTACTTTATACTCCCTCCGTCCCAAAAATCCAATTTTGTAAATTCTAATATTCCCGGGAAGCACTCCATCTTGATCATAATATAATCAAAAGGAATTCAGCTCATTTTCAAAAAGTTAAACCCATTTCTTTCATGCCTTATTTAGATAAGGGGTAATGTTGAATCAAACAGTGAAAACATATATGAAGAAAAAAAAGCTGAGCTCATTGCCCTGAACCTAACACTTAAGGCTTTCCAGCTTTCCTTTGGGAGTATGATCAATGATTCAATGATAAGATCAGGCTGGTCAAGCTCACAAGATCATTCCATACCAAATTCCAAAAATTCAACCCCGACTCCAAAGCAAACACAGGAATATCACCTGAAATTGCGACAGAGCTCCGGCACACTCATTTTATGCAGCAAATTCGACCTGGGTTGCTTAAGACGGATACAAAAAACCGTCGAGGAACCCACATGATCCTCCTCCATTAGATCGTCCACTGCTGCGGCAGCCATCTCCGCCGTCTCAGTCACCCCCTCAGCTCCAACCGCTTCTTCGGCAAACTCCTCCTTCCTCTCAGGAGACCTGGAAGCTTCGAGAACTGCAACGGAGGTAGTAGCAGAGGAGGAATCCACCTCAGAGTCCTTAGTAGTAGCAGCATCAGATGCTGATAGTGGAGATATTGGATTGGCGGACATTTGAACAAGAGAGCCCAGGTGAAAAGACCAAAAACCCTAACGGATATACATACAGGTGGTGTGTATGTATAGAGAGAGAAAGAGAAGGTGGAGCAGAAAGTCGTGAATTGAAGGCGACAGCAACGACTGTGAGTGCGCGAGAGGGAGATGAGTGGGGTTAGGGTTTGCTGGAGAGAGAGAGAGTTGAAAATTTGGGCGAAAAAGAGACAGGTGAGAGGAGTGTATTTCGAAGGAGTTATATGATGTGTCTCTCATAGGAGACAACACCTTGTGTTTTTTTAATTGTTTTTAACTAGTTTGAAAATGTGAAATTTTGAAAATATTAAATTTAAATATTGGTGTCGAATACCTTTTTCGAACCGCTCAAACTCTTGTCGAACGAAGATAGTTCTTGAAAAACGACTTCAGCTTTTAACTTTGGCATTTCGCAACAACTACGACTCAGTTGGATCACACTATCTAACGTGATTTTAAATTTAACATGTTCTAAATTAAACCATACCATTTAAAAAATATTTAGAACATAAACGCTAATTTAAAATTTATTCATTAACAAATCCATATAGTCTCTTTGGCAACATTTACAGCGTTCAATGTCTGTTTTGAAAAAACAATCTAACAGCAATGTTTAGTTTTAGCGTTTTTGATTGTAATCCTTCACTGAATCCTGATTGCAAATAGTCTCCAAACCGTGCATAAAATACTTCTTTCATAGCATAATTGTTTCTTATATGAGGTTGTCACTACTTTAAATAAAGTAAAATTTGTGCATTAAAAGATTACAAAATGGAGCACACCATATTTCCTTTAAAAAGGACTGAAAAGAAAATGGAAAATCAAAATTCTTCTTTTATCCCAAAACTTTTTTCATATTTATTATTTACATTGTCAAACTTTTACTGTTTTTGTGTATTTTCATTATTAATTTGATAAAATAATACTCCCTCTATCCTTTAAACTTCTTCCTCTTTCTTTTTTTCTTGTCCCACTAATTCCTTCTCTTATCTATTAAAAAATTACTTTTACCTCTTACTTTTTATACCCTATCTATCACATCATACTCTTTTATTAATAATATATTCATCACATCTTACTTTTACCCATCATATCAAAGGTATTTTTGGAAAATCAACACCAAAATATATCTCTCTTGATTTTCCAAATAGTCAATAAGGAAATGACTTTAAGGGATAGAGAGAGTATAATCTTGTCATTACGACTAGAGGCAAGGAACGGGGTCATGTGCGGATGTGCCCCTTTGAGGCGATTATGGCAAGGGTTCTTTGAGGTGATTTCAACAAAGATGTCCTCCATAGTTTCAATGATTTCAGTTTTGCGGTGCCACTAAGATTAACATCTTACCTATTGCCTATGACACTATTTGTAACCTTTAATTTTGTAAAATTTTTTATCTCGTAAGTCTATAATAAGAAAGTTTTTTCGTCACACGTGGAGTAAGAATGTAGGAAGCTAATTGTGAGACAATGAATGGTCTTCCTTCATCTCAAAATAAGCACACTTTGTTTGTTATTGTCTCAAAATAAAGAAATATCATCAGATATTGTTTTACTTAAAATGTGTAACACTGACTCGCTTAACTTGACTCACGTGGGTTAGCAAGTTGGAGTGTTAGCAAATTATTAAATTAACATATCATAATTTGTAAAGTAGCAATAATAGTAATTCCAAATATGGTTTTCCCAAAACACGATAACAGCAATTAGTTTGTCCACTGTTGCAGCATCCATCTCGGTTGTCTTAGTGACCCACTCAACTCTAATCGCATCTTGAGCGAAGTAATTCTTCTACTCGAGCGGCCTAGAAGCTTCGAGAACTGCAACAGAGGTCGTAGTAGTAGTAGAAGAAGAAGAGGATCCCACCTCAAAGTCCTTCGTAACAACACAGGATGTTGATTGTGAAGATATTAGATGAGTGGATATTTGAATAAGAACCTAACTAAAAATACCAACCCCCTAATGGATATTTATACGGTGACGTGTATGTATTGAGAGAGAAAGATACGCTACTACAGAAATTACTTTTTGAATCACTTGTTTTTATCATTTAACTCAGTTGTCAATCGATGCAAAGGGTAGCGATACAATTGGTGCAAACAGATTTTGATTTGGTTGTCCAACCAATTTAAAAAGTCCCTCCCATATCTGGTGCCAAGTGACTTTTTGAATTAGTTTTGTCAAAACAACCGATTTAAAAAGTCCCTTCCAGAATTAGCGCCAGTTCTGGGGGACTTTTTAAATAGGTTGTTTTCAAACAACCGATTCAAAAGGTATATATTTTTTAAAGATCACACTCAAACAGACCAAAACATAACAAATTTGCAACAGAAAAGTTTATGCAAACAGGAGAAAAATAGCCTCACAACCTACACACCAAACCAAAATAACAAATCTTTTAACAAACTAGTCATATTACAGCACCGCAATATAATAACTAAATTATATATTCATTTTAACAAAAAGTCATGTAATTCAATGCAAACTTATGAAAAACTAATTCATAAAAAAAACTACCAGTCCAAGACTCACAAACCTCATCCAATTCGGCTTCCAGGTATGGCATGGTAGAATGAAACACCTACAACAAGAACAAAGACATACAAAGATAAATCCAAAATAATCACAAATAAGACAAACTATGTAGTTACAAGAAACACACTCAAACTAACTTATGTCGGATAACGACATCGAAGACTGAGCACACAAAGAGACGATGAGCCACATGACTCGAATTGTATAATATCTACACTATGTCTCCCCCCCTCCGTCATTGTGGTACTCTGAGAAGATCAACCCCATAGTTTGTGACAAATAAAGACTCCCTTCAATATGATTAATCAAACTCATATAACTTGTAACATCTGAATCCGTCCAGATCTACGGCCCCTTTCGGACTTAAAATATTAACTTGGTAACCTACAAATTTCAAACATTCAAAAACTCTATTTCAAATAATTGTGCAAAATATTTCATAATAACATCAGAGTAAAACTATTTAAAAATGCGGAAGCAATTTGCAAACTACAACAGTATGGTCAACCAATGTAATAAAATCATTTACTTTAATAGTATATTTGTGCATATCCACGCATCACCTCCATTTCAGTATTCTCCTGAATAGGCTCCACATTTATTCTCTCCCATACCTACGTGTAGAAAGATGAAAAAAGTCTACACGCTCAGCAATGAAGCTGAATGGTGTTATGACACCCCAAAAGAATTCATAGAATAATTTCTTAAACAATACCAATCACATATATATGTTCAAACATTCGCTTTTTCTCATTTAAATACGTCTTTGTTGTTTTAACAATGATAATAACATAGTCAATTCTTCAATATCACCATTCAAACTTATATAGGAATCAGTCCACATTTCACAATAATCACATGTCATTTTTGTTATTACAATAATCATCATTTGTCACACATAACTTCCTATCAACTTTTATCACAAATAAATTAATTTATTCTAAGCCAAGGCCAAATTATAAAATGCTCTTAAACTAAGGCCAAATAATTCAACCATCATTATGAGTTTACAGTAATGCCTTTTGGACTCACTAATTCCCTTATTATATTTATGGATACGATTAATAGTGTCTTTCGGCCATACTTGGAACAATTCGTGGTAGTCTTCATCGATGAGATTCTCGTTTACTCAAGGAATGCCGAGGAGCACGTGCACCACTTACAAAAGGTATTATCCATCGTGAGGGAGCAGAAACTCTACGCAAAGTTATCCAAGTGTGAGTTTTGGATCGAGGAGGTGACTTTCTTAGGTCACGTTATCTCCGCTGAAGGACTAAAGGTTGACCCGAGTAAGATTTCTGTCGTGGTTGGTTGGAAGGTTACCCGTAATGCTAGGGAGGTAATGAGTTTTCTCGGACTGGTAGGATACTATCGCTGGTTCATGAAAGACTTCTCGCGATTGCTTCCCACTGAATAAACTCGTACGGAAGGATGTGAAGTTTAAGTGGACAGACGCGTGCCAGAGTAGCTCTGATCATTTGAAGGAGAGTTTGATTAAAGCCTCAATGCTGGTACAGTCGGAACTGGGTCGTGAGTACACGATCTACAAGGACGCATCTCTTTGTGGGTTGGGTTGTGTACTCATGGAGGGAGGTAGGGTGGTCGCCTACGCCTCGAGGTAACTGAAACCCCATGAGGGTAATTATCTGACACATTATTTGGGCTAGCCGCAGTTGTTTTTACCTTGAAGATCTGGCAACACTATGTCTACGGTGAAAAGATTCTTATATATATTGATCATAAGAGTTTGAGGCACTTCTTGACCTAGAAGGTTCCGAATCTGAGATAGAAGGCGCTGATTAGAGTTTCTCAAGGACTACGATTTCACAATCGAGTATCATCTGGGCAAGGCTAATATGGTGGTCGATGCCTTGAACCGCAAGTTGGTAACTGAACTCCATGTACATCCGATGTTATATATGGAAATCCGGAATGCTCCAGAGGACAATGAGTTTTGTTGCGTGACACGGAACCTTGTCTCTAAGCGGAATAGACCGGAGTTTACCGTTGGTGCTGATGAAATCTTGTTTTTCTTGAGGCGCCTTATGGTACAAGGCGGGGCCGTGAGAGAGCGTCTCTTACGTGAGGCTCACGAGTAGACCTGGCAATCAGGTCAATCGGTTCGGTTCTGGTTCGAGTCCTTTTCGGTTTGGGTCTCATTCGGATATATGTTATAATCGGTTCGGGTTGGTTCGGTTCGGATCAGTTTGGTTCCGGGTTTATTTCGGTTTGACCGCTTTTCGGTTTCGGTTCGGGTTTGTATCGATTCGGGTTTGTATCGAATCGGGTTTATATCGATTCGGTTTTGTATCGGTTCGAGTTTATATCGATTCGGGTTTGTATCTATTTAGGTTTATATTAGTTCAGATATATTTTAAATATTTACTAATAAATCAATAATATCACATAATAAATTTAATCAATTTATGATATACTCCGTAGTTATTTTATTACTTAACACAGACGTACATAAAATTTAATCAAATTTCGGGTCTAATCGGTTCCGGGTTTAACCGAATTCGGGTTTTATCGGTTCGGGTTTAATCGGATTCGGATCTGAACCGGCTCTGAATACATTCGGTTCGGGTTCGGTTTAGATCATTTTGGGTGTTCGGGTCTATTTTGGTTCTACAATTTTTGGGTTAAATCGGGTTTGGTTCCGGGTTATTCGATTCGGG